AATAAGGATAAATACTGTATAAAACCGTTATTGTAGAAGAAGTATCAGGATCCAGGATGGGTGGGAGAGGCTGAAAGCAGAGGGATGTGGATGTGCAGGGGGAAGAGGGATTAATCATTGGGTTGTACAATTTGATGGGGGAGGTAAGGGAAATTTAAAGGATTTGTTGAAATTTGTATTTTAATTTTGTAAATAAACTAGTAGAAAAATATAAAAAATAATCAAGAAGCTGAACTTTATGATGAACTTTATGATGAAGACTGTGGCATCAGAAAGACTCATCAACAGCTCATGTTATGCCGATAATACAACTTTGCTTTATCAAAGTGAGGAGGACTGTGCTTGTGGCAGAAGCTCAAGGACTATAGCTTTCAATATGGGTTACATTTGAACTCCAAGAAAACAAAAATATTTACCACTGAGCCAACAGGCAACATTGTGATAGGCAAATATTAAAATTATCTACAATTGCATTTTCCTTGGATCCACAATCAATACCCTTTGTAAATTAAGTCAAGAAAGCAAAAGACTTGTTGCTTTGGGAAAATGTGCTGTCAAGGACATCTCCAAAGATGTCAAAGTCATCTTCAGCATCAGTGCTGATGAGCAATAATGTCAGTTTAAAGATACCTGATGGTGTCCTGGTGCACCTGATCCAAACCGTGGTTTTTTTCAATTAACTTACTTGCAGATGACACAAGCCTGCTTCCTGAAACTGAGGAGGACCTGAAGCACTTGCTGCAGAGGGTCAAGCACTGCAGCCTTCAATATGGATTGAGGCTTAATGTGCTGATTGTGGAGCCAAACAAACTGAAGCTATTTAAAAATCCTCAATATCTTCAACATCTATAGTGATGCTGCCAATCAGCCCAGTGGTGAGAATTTTTGTCTCCTTGATATTGAGTTTCAATCCATATTGAAGGCAGCAGTCCTTGACCTTCTGCAGCACGTGCTTCAGGCCCTCCTCAGTTACAGCAAGCAAGGTTGTGTCATTTGCAAAACACAGGTTGTTGATGAGTCTTCCTCCAATCCTGATGCCATATTTCTCCTCATAGAGCCAAGCATCCCAGATGATCTGTTATGCATTTAGATTGAAAAGGTATAGAGATAGAACATATCCCTGGCATACACCCTTCCCAATTTTGGACAATGCAGTGTTTCCTTGCTCTGCTTTGACAACTGCCTCCTGGTCCAAGTATAGGTTTTTGATAATAAGCACAATAAAGTGTTCTGGGATTCCCATTCTTCTCAGAGTCAGCCACAGTTTATTCAAATGTCTATTCCACTTGATCTGTGTTTCTGTAAATTAACTTCGGTAGATAGATGATCTCTTTGCCCAGAGCTGCCCTTTTAAAAGAACTTGGATTGATCTTGAATCTAAAAGGCTGAGTCACAAACAATGCTAAGTAACTAAAATCGCTTCTTGTTGAATAGTAAAATTTCTTTTAAAAGGGGAAGTAGGGGGTGTGACAGACAGGGTAGTTAGCAGGCTACTACTGACTTGGCAACCACGGTAGCCAGAAAAGCCAGATGATGTGTCAGACATACTAAAAAGCGAAAGTATGCCACAGTGATGGCAGCTTTCTCCTCAGACACTTCACTTCCGTAATTCAGCAAACCAGGGGCCCAGGAGTTGAAGTTTTTTACAGGTTCCCCCAAATACAACAATACAGAACCTCTTTCTCTTAGAAAATAGCCACAGAAATGTAAAATACCAAGACTGTGAGAACTTAAAAGGCGTTTGGAAAATGTGTGGGCTTGGAAGGGTGAATGCTGCTAGGATGAGAGGCTGAAATCTCTAGAGAAGCAAATTTGATAAGAAAACTGGCTTGATACACTGACAGCCAAAAAACCTCCTTGCTGCAGCTTATACACTGACAGTAAAATAGCCTCCCTGCTACAGCTGATGCTAACTTTGCGGTTTTGATTGGAAAGATACGGAGAGGCATTTTATAGTATTTTAGTAATGAAAAAAGGTCATGAGATTTGCCCCTAATCTTGCTCTTCCTTCACTGTTTTTCACTGAGGAACTAGAATGCTTGTATTTAAATATTATATACTCTAGAATATTGCTTAATGCATTCAAGTATTACTGAACCATTTTCCTTTTCTCCAACAGAGATTAAACTGAGGGTTCTTTAGAATGCTTGGTCAAATGGCTCACCTACTTCCTGAAGGATGGCATAGCCCATTGGGACTTGCACTGTTAACCAGAGGCTCTGTCAGAGAGAGATGATCAATATCCTCTGTTGCAGTATACATACGACCTCTGAAAACTCAATGGAGATTCAATTATGAGTCGGTTTTGATTTAACAGAAATGAGAGAGACAGCTTACTATGATTTAAAGTCCAATTTACAGTAACTAATTTTTCAAAATTTTAGACCCATTTGTCTTGAAGTATTAACCACCTAGGATTACAGATGTTTGTCTGTACAAGCTAACTTCCTTATTGTCATACATGAGGATCTTTGAGAATGGAAAGAAAGTAGACTTTGGAATTAGAGCATTCTAGCTTCTAATCTTTGTTCTGTCCATTACTGGCCAAGTGACATAGGAGAAATAAGTTCTTTGAGTCTCAGTTTTCTAATTTATGAAGTAGAAATCATTATATTATGTTGTTGTTATGTGTTGTTGTTATGTGCTGTCGAATTGCTTGCAACTCATAGCGACCCTATGTACAACAGCCCTAAACTCTGCTCTGTCCTGTGCCAATCGTACTGTCTCTGACACTCCCATCCCGATTATCCCAGTCA